TTTTTTTTTTTTTTTTTGCTGTACGTAATTGTTGAGGTTGGGGGATGTGGGAGGTTGAGGATATAAATTTGTGCCAGTCCTTAATAAACGAGTAGTATTATTAAGCTCAAAATATAAAAGGCAGTCTTCCATTGTTCAGCAGGAATTGAAGTCACCACCACATTTCATCTCTTTGGGAAATTTACTAATCAGTCAATTAAGTATTAATCATTCCTAATGTGGTTTTTATGTAATCATTTTACCTTGGAGTTGTGACTTCCTGTGTATTTAATCCTCATGCTTCCATTCAACATAAGAATGCATTGTTCTGTTTTATCTTATCTCATGTGGCTGACTGTGTGGTTTGGGCAGAAGGTACAGCTGTAGGAGAAGCAGACTTCACAGAAGCAAAGTGAAAACAAATTATCTCCCTGCAGTACGCACACCATACTATCTGGCTCTTCAGAAGGAGCAGGCACCAAACACCACAGTTGTCCACTCCACTTTCCATTTTTCATCAGCAGGCTCGCTCTGGTTTGGCTTCTCAGATCAAGCTAGCCAACCCAGGTCTTGAAGGCAACCATGTGCATGATTTCAGGCCTGTTGGGCCCATCAGCATTGCCATGGTTACAAGGATATAGCAAGATTGCGGCAATACATCAGAATATCCAAATGAGGCTGATGCGGACTCAGAAAGCAAGAGCGGACGAATCAGCCACATCATTTGTTTAATCCATCAGCCACCTACTGCATGTTTTTTCAACACCCTTTATAGGGGGGAAAGGGAAATGAGGGGTCCTTGGTGCTCTCTGAGCTTGGTTGTTTTTTGCAGATGTTTCCTTACCAAACTAAGTAACATTTTTAATGCATTGAGACCTCATTTCAACCCTGAGCTACCAATGTTCTCTTTTATTGGTAGCACAAAAAGGGAATGCCTCACATTTGATCACCCTTTCTAGATCTTAGTAAATTATCTGAGGGAGAAATTTTCAACCTTATTTTGATTTGGAAAGGCTTCCCCCCCCCTTAAAAAAATCATGTTCCTCCTTTATACCAATAATGGTATGAGTGTGCCTTGTACAAGGTTACTTGGTACAGGTGGACAGACTCCAACACATTAATCCACATCATGAAGATATGCTTAATTGAGAAGAATTCCAGGATGAACTGTGACCTCCAATAAGAGGCTACATGCAACCTTAGAAACCTCCATCAGACTTATTCCTCAATGTACTATGGCACCTCCACTCTGCAAATGGAGCTTATTTTCTTTAGCAAACTTGCAAGTGTCAAATATTTTTGTACCAATCTGAGATAATCCTTGAGCCTAGGCAAACAAACAAAAAACACACAAGTCCTCTATATATTACATGTTCTGTACATAATTATGCACCATAAGAAATGTGACGGATAAGACTTGGACTTCCTTTTGTAACATATTTGTTATGTTACAAAGAAATCTTATTATGGTTATGAGAGTACTATTACAGCTGGAAGGGTTAGCAGATCTTATTTTCTCAAAGAAAATTACATGTGCTTGAAGCAGAAGGCTCCTGCTTTCAAGGGCACTGTATGTGTGAAGGAAATATATTTTTTAGATGAACAACATACATAACAGGCTTTCATTGTATATATTTCAAGGTCTTTTTGATATCTATTGCACACTGGGTTCTGCTTAGCTTAGACAACACCGCATCAGCAGGCAACCTTTAGAGCAGAAACACACAAAAATCCAGTTTAAAGGAATGTGTTGTCCAGAAAGGCCTTATTTATGGCTTACCTTCATTCTCTTTGCTCTTGGCCCAAATTTCTTTATGCTCCAAGGAAAAATGGTTT